TAATATTGGATTGTGGGAATTAATAAAAGCAAATCTTTTATATTTTGAATAATATTTTATTTTTCAACTCAGCTCGGAAGGACGTCTATACTCACCAACTAACGCACACTGACGCACACGAAGTGAAGCCAACGGACAAGGGTCTACCTTCCCTTAAAACCGTTTCGGGCCTTATCTTAGAAAACTGACCCCTTCTAAGAATAGTGTAATTTATGACCAAGGCCTTTAGAATTGCCTTGTGAAAAACATTCGACAGAACTACGTCTTCTTATAGTGAAGATTCATTTTTGTTATACTAGTTGTGTAAATAATTCAACACGTAATGACCAAGTTAACATCGTGTTACAATAATAATAATTCCATCTAAAGAATATGATAAAAAATGTAACTAAAGAAGCAAAATGAAGCCGTCGCAAATATATAAATTTATGTAAGAATTATAAATAATATATACATAACATGTAACTTTCGCTGCAATATGTCTAAATTAAACATTTTCAGTCATATAAAATGGCAACTGCACCCATAATTGATATTAACCCGAAATCTTTATTAAAAACCGTTGATGATTCACACCCGATCAGAGTACAAAAAAAAATTAACTCTTCTTGAATCACACGGATACACTCTCACTAGAACAGGTGCCGGTTCATACATACTGTAAAAGTATGTTATACACCCAAGTCATTTCATCATTCAAAAGAAGTTTATGTTTCTATTTCAAAGTACCGTCTTCCGTTACGAATGCAAGTTTGACATCTTAGGGAAACTGAATTTATCACTCTCCGAATTTCGTTTTTATATCTTGTCCTTATCTTTCTATGAACGCATTATTCAATTTTTCTTGTCCTGGAATTGACGTTTCAGAACTGATCTTAATTCTCTCACCCATCAGATATTTCCGTAATTCGATCTCTGGGTTATTGCGTTTGACTACTTCAAACAATTTCACATAGTAGACATGGCTAGAACGAGTAGGTTTATCTCGTTTCTCCCGGTTATCATCGTCTTATTGTTACATTTCGATGTACCAACAACGAACTCGCTATTGAGTTTAGATTTCATATTTTTATTCTAATTTTTTTATAAAATATTTACAGACCTATGTTGGTATAATATTTTCTTCTTACTTTTACTTATTGAACATAATGGTGCAGTTTGATCGTTTAATCCGTGGACACCCTATATATTTGCGGAAAAGTGGCTGCGTAAAATATGGCTGAATTACGCGGTAGAAAGCAGCCGGTAGAGGGCATTCAACGCGTGTACACGCAATCGCGTGCCTCCACCGAAAGAGAAGGCGACATCGAATTGCCCTTCACGTTCCAAAAAGCTGCTCCGGTTTCGGCGTACATTTTTCTTGGCTACTTCCGACGCGCCCGACCATCCTGGCTGTCATGAGGACCTGAATGGCGTTGGCATCAAGATCCGTCCGTCGTCTCGCTGGCTGCCAATCGTCCGTACACAGAAACGAAAATTTCAAGTCAGTGCTGGCAACTTTTTACGTTTATTATAACGTCTCATTTTGACGAGGAACGCAGGCAAATAATTTTGTTTACCGTTTCTCGCCGCGTTATTGTTTAGGGTTATTGGATTTTAGCGGTTACTTATCGATGCGGGCGAAGAAACGGAATGCTTCGTTGCGCGCCGCGACGATACCGATCCATCGTGTCCCGTTCCACGATGTGCAACATTATTTTATTGTTTCCTTGCGCTCGCGGGATGAATCGTCGGACACGTTATCGCCCGATGATCCAACGACACCGGTAGATGTTTTCTTTCGTACAGAACACACGCCGTGTTTATTATTATTACATAAGCAGATCGCTACGAATATTTTATTTCAACGGATTCTGTCTCTCCTCGCATCATTTGTTCATGAAAATTAAAAGTTATTCCGCGATTTGCAAAGTGCCATGACTGCTCTTTGCATGGTATTTTACAATCTAACAATATGTTACTTAGGATATTTTCACTATTATACTTCAGATACATTATATACAATCATAAGAACAATTATCTTTAGAATTATTCATTTTATTAAAATCTATCTTACTTTTACAGTCATTGCAAAGATGACAGCTGATTCGGAAAAAGACAACACTCACTGCTTGATATGTAATAGCAAAGTTGGAGTTTCTACTAGGAATAGTATACGTATTTTTAATGAAGAGTCTGTAACGTCTTCAGAGAAGCCACTTGTAGACATAATTTGTACTGTCTTAGAAACAGACTTGAATGAAGAAAATGTACATTCTCTTGTCATATGTAAAAAATGCTACAAATTATTTAATGAGGTAATAGGAGCGCCCCACTGTTTTATAAGTATACATATGGTATCTGGTTTATTTGTTCAAGTTATAATTTCTTGTGCTATTAAAGACGTTTAAAACTGTAAGAAAGTTGTTGAACAGAAGTTCCAAATCTCTATGTATAGAATGTTTTTTACAATACCATTCAATTCTTCATTCTTTAAATGTTGTAAAAGTAATTCGAAATGTAGTATTAAACCAGACATACTGCATAGTTTTAGTCACATAATACAGAAATAACATTCACAGGTTGATGAACTTGAAAATAGACTGACGGAAGTGAAAGTAGAATTGTATAGTAATTATAAGAAAACTATTAAACAATTATCTGACGAGCAAAATGAAGAAGAATTTAATGATCACGATTACATAGAAAATATGGACTCTCAAGATGCAGATGGGGAGATTAAATATGCAGACAAGGTAATAGGTAAAACTAAATTTTCTCGTGTATCAATCATTAATGTATTTTTTAAATCTTTTTAAAGGACGATCAAGAAGACCAAGAAATGGAGGGAGAAGAAGAAAGATTAGAGGAAGAAGACGAAGAGGATCCTGCCTGTGAGCAGGAGGAAATTATTCTGAAAGATCCATCAGTGCCAGAGACGAGCAATGCAGACGAGAGGAAGAGAATGAAACGGTCAAAAGTAGTTCCAAAAGTTGAACCTCCTCAAGAGCAAGTAAGAAATTATTTAATTATGAATGTAAATAATTCATCGGTTGGTAGACAAAACGCAATAATTCAGCTAAGCGCTGAGGAATGTACTTACTCGGCGGAATGATGGAGAAGGAAACTAAGGCAACTCGAACGAGTGCTATGAAATGTAACCGTTCGTGGGTGCCTTTTCCTACTATGACAGCACGCCCAAAACTTATAAAACTAAAGGATACATGGTTTATCAGGGAATAAGTATTTAATAGGCTCGATAGGAGAAACTTCATGCATCGAATTCGACAATACTTAGCGATTGAAACAGTGTTATCAAAAAAAGTTGTCCTTAGATAATGAGGAGAGAAGATCCATTGTCAGATCAGTCATGGACAAAAAATTTTCTAGTGCTCGATCGAGATGTTGCCTCTTCCAGCATTTGATTGAATTGTTACGTACTCAGCAGTCGATCGAATCAGTATGTTTTTCGCTGTTCGGCCGAATTGTTATCTTTTCCAGCCTTCGTTCGAATAAGTACGTTCTTCAGCGCTTAGCTGAATTATTACGTCTTACCTCCCAGCAGACGAATGTATAATGATATAGAAATTGATTTTACTTACGTTTTTTTGTTATAGGTCGTATCTAGAGATGGTTCTATGTATACTTGTTTGTTATGTATAAACGAAGAAGATAAAACGGTGGGAGACGCCAAGTCTATTATCGCGCACGTGAGAAGTGTGCATGAAACCCGTTTATATATTTGCGATATATGCGGAGATGATTTTCGAAAAAGAAATGAGCTCTCCGTACATCTCGATGATCATGTCGCTAAAGAAGAGGGAGACTTTCAATGCGAGATATGCAACAGAATTTTCAGTAATTTACGACTGTTTAGAATTCACAAGAGGATACATTATCCGCAAGTGAAATCCTGGCCATGCGAAACGTGTGGCAAACGATATAGGTATTAACAGGATGCAATTAATAAATGGCATTTATTAAGTTGGCAAATAAATTGGTTCTTGCTTCGGCGTAGTTTCACTCCAATTTGGATTCGTTTTTCTTAATGCGATTATACTGAACTCAAGTACGCATTTAAATTAAAAATGCTTATCTTTCACACACTGTTCGTAACATGTTGAGCGATTATCAATGGTTGCTATCTAGCTACTAAAAGAGGAAGCACATAATGTGCACTATCGCCATATGTTATTCCATTACTTCAAAAAGAACAAACGAGCACATGTTGTGTGGAAGATGCCTTGACAGAATAGGTATACCAGAAATCGTTTGTGAAATTTCGGTCTGGACATTTGAAATTAATACTAAAATTCGTGACTTCTTTTATACATGTATTTTAGGATTTAAAACCAGTCATTTAAACTGGTTTAGTAGTGCTAATGTTAACGATACATCTTGCTCCTATCCACCGACTGAGATTAATTCGAGTGATGTCAAGACCATTATCGATAGAAGTTATCCCAATCGGTGCGAGATATTGCTACAAATGCTTGCTCAATATATCCCATACGAGTGTAGAAAATGATCTCAAAGAAATAGTTTCATTATGCCCTAAAAAATTGAACGAACTTATTTGCCAACCCAATAAGTAATCTCACTATTATGTAAAGAGAAAATGTAATGAAAGAATATTACAATTTGTTATGTTCACAGTTCCAGAAATCTACTGGAGGAACATATCAATACTCATACGGGTATACGTCCATATGTATGCGAAAGTTGCGGCAAAGATTTTGCTTCGAAATATACGCACAAAGCGCACGTTAAGACGCATGAGATACGACCGCGACCCTACGAATGTTCACAATGCAGTAAAACATTTTTGAGCCAACAGAACTTGAATCAGCATGAAAGGACTCACAACGGCGTAAAGGAATACGTTTGCCACCAATGCGGTATGATATATCAATTTGGTTATTGTTTTTTGTGTTACATTTTAAAATATAAACAATGAAAATTACAGGTAAAGCGTTTGGCTCGCCACACAATTTGGAAGTGCACAATATAGTGCATACGGGTTACAAACCGTACATTTGTAGAGTCTGTGGTAAAGCGTTTGCGCGCAAAGCTGAAATAAGAGATCACGAAAGAACGCACACTGGAGAGAAGCCGTACCAGTGTGAATTCTGCGGAGCTACATTTAGGTATATAATCATATTTGTCGGCTATATAAATCTGTATAACGGATGCAATCTTCTATATTATACATTTCAGCCAACGATCGAATTTGCAATCGCATAAGCGTGCGACGCATTATAACGACAAGCGGTATAAATGCGACGATTGTGGAAAGGGCTTTAAACGACGACGATTGTTGGATTATCATATAAAAGCGGCACACACTGGCGAAAGGCCATACAAATGCAGTATATGTACAGCGACATTTGTTTACCCGGAACATTTTAAAAAGCATATGCGTATACATACTGGCGAGAAACCATATCTTTGCGAGGTACCCAAAGTCAAAATTGTTGATTATACATTACACTAAAATCATCTATTTAACATCAGTACATTTCTTTAGGTATGTGGAAAGGCATTTAATAGCCGAGACAATAGAAACGCACATCGATTCATACATAGTGATAAAAAGCCATACGAATGTCTTGTATGTGGTATGGGTTTTATGAGAAAACCATTGTTATACGCTCACATGCAAACACAGGTAGGTTAAAACATAGTAATAAAATTGATTTATAATTATTAATGATTATTTTATTCAGTTAATTAATTTTGTTCATAATTGACATGGACATGGAATCACATTTTACAGGGTCACTTAAACGACACTATCGTCGTCAATCAGCCGCGTCTTACTACTGAAGACGATCAAGTTATAACAATATCTGATGGTAATGTTGAGCTTTTAGTGGATGAAGCCGAAACTGATCAGGTACTTAATTTCCTCTTCTACTGTATTCTAATGAAATATAATTTATTCTTAATATTTTTTATCGTATCACAGCTGGATGAAACCGAACTATACGTCACGGAATTAAAGGATCATGTTATAATACAGCAACCAACAGAGGATCCAATTTATAATGAAGAAGATGTGTTGAATATACCGACGGAAGAGCATGTCGCGGACGAGGAAGGGAATCCTTTAGTTGACGAAGAAGTAAGCGCAGTTTTACAATCGTTAACTATTATGATGTAGGAGTATTTGATTTCTATAACAAAATGATCACACAATTTCATAATTTTTAGATGAATTTTGCCGAAAGCGAAGTGTTGGATATTAAACCTGAAGACGCGGAACAAGTAGAAGAAGTATATAATTACGCTGAAGCTGAAGATGTTGAAACGATAGTTGTACCAACTACCTCAGAATACAAAGACGAAGAAGACGATAAGAGCGCGGTGCGATTAGTGCAGATTCGATTCCCGTCGTCGGTTAGCGGGGAAAGCCGTAGCTGGTTAAGCCTTGTGCAGAACACATGAATTTTTGTATTATTTGTTATACACTATAGCTTTCTAAGCAGGAAAACATTTCTTAGTAAATAAGGCATACTGATACGCGTAAATGAGTGAGTGAATAAACTAGCCTTAAATGGAAGCACGTTGAATTGATACGAGTTTTTCTTGATTGCATAAGACGATTATATCTAAGTACGTTCTTGTAATCTTCAATTTGGATTTGTCCAGGGTGTCCTTGTGGTACCTTTTCAAATGGGAGGTTCCTGAAGTCATTTTAAACAATATTTTCCTTTGTCAAAATGTTATCCAAGGCGTGATTATTGAGTTATTAACAAATACCCCTGCTAATCAGACTGCCCGTATGACGGGCGGCCAGGAGTGCGCCAACTGCCTTGAACATTTTGACAAAAGAAAATATTGTTTAAAATCACCTCACATTTTGATCAAGGAAAATATTGTTTAAAATCACCTCATTTAAAAAAGTACCACAATTTCTGGGACACCCTGTATATGTATAGTAAAGGTCTATCTACACTAACATAACGTCGACGTAACGTAACCAGTATGTAGGGTCTCCGTAGGTGTAGGACGTACGTTCGGCAACGTAAAACGTAACCAGTGCTGTAGTCTTTAGGATAGGGTATAGGAAAAAGCGTGTAAAAGCAGGGAGATCAGGAGTCCACGATTGACACCGAATCGGCAGGCAGATTGCCTGCTGTTTAGGGTCCACTACCTATTCCGAGGGTTCTTTCGCTTTTCTCTATACCCTGTCCTAAAGACTACAGCACTGGTTACGTTGCCGAACGTACGTCCTACAACCTACGGAGATCCTGCGTGCTGGTTATGTAACGTCGACATTACGTTAGTGTAGACAGACCTTAAGACGTAGAGGCAAGCAAATGATAGAGAATCTTAAATTGATTATGTCGTTTCATATATGACATTCTCAATATGTCTTTTAAGTCCCAGAAATTTCTTTCTGATTGAAAGCACAAAACTGCTGATAAAAGCTGTAACATAAATTGTAAGAAATTTTGTACAGTTGCAATGCAGTCCAGTCAGTACCATAATTTTAATTGTAATTTAATTATTTTATTATTTTCATTTCTTAATTCTAGTTTACAGTGATCGGTTATGCTTAGATTAGTAATAAACGTAAGATGAATCAACGAAAATTACATGGATTAATTTATAGATAAACCGGTTGATAATATCTAAGATATTTAGTTTAGGAATTCTAGGTTTGTATACTTGTGTAAGAATAATTAGGTAGCATTTAATGGAATGTGTTCACATTCCTAATATTCATATTTTTTTATGCATTTAACATTGTACCGTAGCGTATAACGGGGAAGTTTCCTCGACATTCTTCCTTGAAGATAAAAGAAAGTAGAGCGTAGTTTCATAAATTAGTAAGTTTTGCAATTCGTGCAGCACATTCTTCGAACTTGTGTAACTTGCTTATTAAATATCAAAATTCCGATACTGGAAGTTATATTACTCGTTTTACAACTTATAAACAATTAGTGTTTTACATCTATATAGATCATCAGTTATTTATAAGTAACTCTGTATTGAAAACATCTCAGAAAAGATGATGCTATTCGACACAGACGCGTTGTATTAAATATTTAATTTCTCCGTATTATTAGTTGTGTGTAACGTTCTTTATAAGTATCAATACAATTATGTACAAATAAATAAAATTATAATGTTCTTAAATACATGTTCTTTTCATTTTCCTTAATATTTATGATACAACGAAATGCTACCATTTGATTCGATCGACGATCGTTTGTCACATCATATCGCCTCTTCGATATCTTCTTTTTCTCTTTCTTTTATGTCATTCTCAGGCTCAATTTCATTGGATTTGATTGTTCGTTCATTGGTTCGGTTCGAAATTTTATTCCGTTTGTACTTGCACGTGCTTTATAGTTTGATTCTGATCCTGTGGTTCATGAGTACTTATATGTTTTAGTCTGATGGTTGGTTTTCTATTTTCCTTATATTCTCTTGTTTCACTGTTACTGGGAATGAATGATATCAAAAGATGGAAGCAGAAGGGAGAGCCTTGGTAAGAAATTTAAAAAAAATAGAAGATTCATACTTTAAGAAGATCTAGAGAAATGGAAAAAGAAAAAAATGCTATCATTTTTATTGGTGATTTGTGGTTAAAATTGAACTAAAAAAAGATAGTCTATTGAACTATGCATGTTAAAATGAACTTATACTGCAATTACAAGATTTCTCAATGATCTAAATCGAATGGTATAAAGTGGCGCACGTGTTTTACGTAAAACGTTAATGGGGTGGTTTTGATAAATGACAGGAAATTACGGAAACACTCCATTCAGCGATTAATTGTTACGCTATTGTACCCTGAGCCATCAAGCAGCATCTCGCGTCACTCAATAAGTTAAATTGAGCGTGGATAATAATCGAATCCTCCCATCTCTCTGTTCAGGATTCAGACCTTAATATCTCTTTATCCAGTTCGGTCTTTCAGAACGTGCTAATACAATAGCTCCGAAGAATGCTCGATTTTTCATGAATCAATGAGATTCTAATAGTCCCTCATTAAGCAATCGTTATTTTAAAGATTATTAAAACCATCATATAGATTTTAAAACATGTTTATCTTATTTATACGTTTGTATGCAATAGATAGTACTTGGGGATGAGACGAAAGGGAGAGAGACTGGAAAAGATTCTTCAATGTGAATATTATTAGAAATTTGTTAACAAAAGAAATTATACTTAATCAAAGAATAACTTTTAAATATTTTGTTATTCACGTATGTTATTTATTTATGTTTTTAATGCTTTTGAATAGTTTATATATTGTTAATGTTGAAATATATAATGTTGACATTACTCGATCTTTACAATGTATAAAAATAGGGAAGACCCCCCGCATCGCTTACCCTTCTAAAACCCTAACAAACGTTCTCAAAACCCGGGACAGCCTGTATATAAGACGTATTATCACCAAATGTTTCCGTTTCAAGATCGAAACGCATGAAATAAATGAGAACTACTACAATAAATAGTACTTTATAATAGATTTTTAGTAAATACTCTCTAAAAAAAAAATAATTTACACGCATAAGACGTTTGGAATCTCTCCGTTCATTCGTCTGAAGTGCACGAATACACGACGTTTCTCACATTAATTAATCGTCGAGTCTAATTGAATAGTCTTGTCGACGAACCGCGATTTGAACGAATCTCTAATACTATTGTACGCACATTGTTATCACAAGAAGAATAAGAAAAGCGATGGAGCTAATGAAAAGTAGAAAATAGTTAACAATAGAGTAGATAAGAAATTAAAAGAAAAAGAAGGATCGCGAAAATAATTTATATACTTATTTAGGTTTCATACAGACTGATTAAAATGTGATTGTAAACCAAAGACAAAGTGTATGTTTGTTTATTTTGTATTCGTTTTATGTTCACTTATGTTAGTTAATTTTACGTTTCAGATAGTTTGGTTTATCTGTAGTTTAATTAATTGAAATAAGTTAAGTTCTTAGAGGAATGTAAGGTCGATGGGTAATGAAGTGTGAAACGTATCGTTGGTGTGTAAAGATGTGGAGGATTAAACGATTAAGTTTTTTCAAGCTGCAAACCAAATTCTATTTTTCGGCCGATAATGCTAAAATTATAATAAATACAACTAACTTAATAAAAGGAGATCGCTTCGCGGTATAATAAGAACGTTCCTTCTGGAAGGATTTCGTCATTCGGTTAAAATAGTCAACGTAATAAACGCGTCACATTTATTTCGTTCCGCGCGAATTGCCTCGCGGAATCTGGTTAATTAAACGCGGCGGGGTAAAAAAGAAAATTGCCTAAAAATCGTGTCATTAATCGCGGAATACCAACGCGTTCCTTTCGCATTTCTGTTGCACTCTATCTGGCTTCTCCTGACTCTACCTCACCGCAAAATTTCTGTTTTATTCACAAAGATATTCTTCCTCGCATCCGTACGTGTTTCGCCTGCTTTCCCAGCTTCAATCTTTCTCTAAAACCCGTTACCCCTTCGTCCGACCCTCTTCTCTTACCTTTTCCCACCGTACACGCACCGCATGCAAATGCGTATATTATTGCGACATTCCGCGCTGATTAAGCGTCGTGTTTAAAATGAATCTTTAATGAATTTTACCCGAGACTTCAAACTCCATCCACTGTAAACGCGATCATGCATTATTTATAAATACCGGCGGTATCGTATTCTACGAATTTTTAACGAAATCGACTTCAGCCCAATGCACATGGAGATCGATTTACAAAACATCTCAGACTTACTTTGATTATTTTCCGCAGAGAACTTAAAGTGAAAACGCAAGAATCGGGTATATAATACAATAGCATAATGCACAGTGTGGAATTAAACGAGTTTTTAAATCACAGATATTTTGAGATGTTATTTCCCAAGCCGAGTCGTCCGGATTTATTTCATCCCGACCAATTTGTATTCACCCATCAGCAAGCGCCTTAGTCTCGACAACAAGCATTATTTTTATATTTTTCGCGAGTTCCTTTCCCGTCCCGTCTTTCCCATCCCTCGCCGTTTCCATTTACTTTCGCGCGACGTGTACAGAGTATGCAAATGTACACGCGTATTATTTCGTAGCAGCGTGTTTTTCAAGTATCGCGCGTAGGAATGAGCGAGGTCTCGGAGAATTTTCTTCACGGTTTTATATTTTTTCTTCTCTCTTTCTCTCCTCACCCGATATCGCGCATGAAAGGTACACAAAGATGTTGCGTACAAGAAAACGTACGCCGGAACGAGGACGAGGCTTCGCGACGCGGCCTATCCGTATCCGCGCGCCGAAAAGATCCCGCGATCCTTTGATCCCAACCTGATTTACTCGCAGCTGAAGTGTACTTGTAGGATCGGGAACTTGCCAGAAGTACAAGTTCGTTGCATGTTGTCGGAATTTTCATCGGCTAAGGATCCGGATACGTATCACACGGTGGGTTGCAAGTTGCCGTCGAGATTTCCCTGACATTTGCTATCCGCGTTCTACCCATCCTACCCAGATTTATGAGCGATTCTTGCGACTTGCTTTTTCTCGGTGGAGATCGACCCGAGTGCTCCGAATGGTATTATCGGTAAAAATTAGATGGAAAATATTTCGAAC